CTATAGCTTATAGCTGTCATACAAGCAGACCGTTCAAAATCAATATAAAAATTTTGTATGAACTTGTATCCAAAAAGAATGTATCCGTGAAGGGTATTGTAGCTGCGGCGCAGCCGAAGTTAACGTATTTTCTTGTTTTTGCTCTCACTAAACTAGTGCGCTACTTGCCTCCTTTCGCAAGAAAATTTGTAATATGTGTTTAAAAATGTATTTGTCTAGATATTATATTGGCATATTGTGTAATAAAAACGTGAATGGAGCGTATAGATCTCCGACAATTGATGTGTTGGCATTTCGGTGCAAAAATATATAAATCATAAAATTTTTGCAAAGTTTCTTTGTTTATTTTGGTAATTTATACGTTTAACATTCTTTCGCGTTCCCATTTGCTTCAAAAATCCTTAGACGCAGCTTTCATTACTTATTTTGAAAAATCTAACCCAAAAGAATATAATTGTTTTGCAGAAGCAGAGTTATGTCTCTAGAGGTCCAAAAATTAATAATTTATCATTTATTACTATGGCATTTGAACAGCTGATATTGTCAAGTTTATTGAGTGTCGTTTATCGATAACTAAAAGGCAAGATTTTCAAGCGAAAAACGACTATAATTAAAATTAACTTTAATCCAACATAAACACTTTTAGGGAAATATTTAGAAATCAATTATCGAAATACAAAAAAATCGATTGAAAAATTTATAAATATTTCATACAAAAAAAAAATCAAATTTCTAGACTGGAATAATTCCAAAAAAAATATTTCCAACAAAAAAACTTTTTTTTTTTAATTCTAGACTAGAATACCGCTTTAAAGTTCAATTCACTCAACTGTTTGCTGTTTTTGAACATCAAACAATATTTTTCATATAAATTTTATTCACCACTGTCTATTATATTGTTATTGAACTTTGTTACTTTTTTTCTAATCTTTCACTTTCTCTCTTTGCTTTCAGGTAAGTGCTTTATTATTAGACAATTAAAAGTTGAATTGCACACTTTGGTGGTAAGTTTAATGACATCATAGTTGCCACGTAGTTTCCGGCTTTACACCTTTAATATCGCCGCTCATTATACTGTAAATTATAGTCTATGCACACAAATCCATTATAGCCTATTCACACTTACTTACAATGACAGATACGGGCGTGTTACCAAATGATGTGGAAAAAAAAATTTCAGTAGGGTTCCATGTGCCATCTAAGCACTTTGGGAAAAAAATATATATAACACCCAAAGGCAGGCTGTAACCTAAATTTCACTTCCTTGGTTCATTGTCCTTCACATTTGCTGCCTTTCGGTTTCCTTCTATACTTGGGCGGCATGAATAGAACGCTGCTCATGACACTTAGACAGCAAGCGTAGATTTTTATTTATATCTATATTTTTTCATTGCTCTCCTGTGAAGCCCACTCACTTGTTGTTGACGCTCCTCTTGGTATTCCTTAGCAACGCTTTTCACCTTCGACTTCTTCCACAGTCAATGAATGTCTGGATATGCTGTGCAAATATTTGTCAAAGCTGACATTAGACTTCCTGCTTTTTATAGCAGCATACTTTACTTGCCACTCTTGTCTTAGAAAAAGAAGTAAAAAAAATAATGCGTAAAAAGGAAGCGCATTTTCCGTGATTGCTTTTGAGAATGCTTCCGCTCATTTTGAATGCTATTCAAAGTGACAGCGCTCCCCGTTGTCTTTGAAGTTGTGGCATGCAACGTGGCAAACCATTTCCTTTTAAGTTAAAATTAAATCTACTTTAGTTGCGCAAAAACTATTTTCCTTCCTACAAAGTATTCCTATTTTTCTTCAGCTTTTATTGTACTTTGCGCGCTGTCAATTTTGTCTAAGCCAAAACTGTCCTTGACCGTTTCGTTTCAAATATTTATTGCTGTATAAAAATTTCTTCGCACTCTCTGTCGTTTATCGCGCTATGATGATGTAATTTCTTTTGATTCATCATTTCGATTCAGCGGGTTTTCGGTCACCACTTAATTATTTGTTGCTTGGCCTGCGCTTTAAATACACTCGAGAGCGTTCAATTCAATTTGCTGCTCACTTAATAGACAATTTTTTTCATACATAATTATAAAAGCTACATATATATTTTGACTCATACACCAACTTTTTATCTTACTTATCTCTCTAAGTTTTCCGCCGCCGCCGCCAGTTGAGGCAAGTCAAAGTTTAGCTTATGAATTGGCTCGCATTCAATTTAGATAGTGCTTCAAATAAATTGCCTCCAAATTCATTTAAACTTTACTTACACGGACTCATTCGTAACAATTTATCAGTAATAAAGTCTGACAGTTATTGGCAATGTGTTGGTGGTCATGTAATTTTCGAAGAGTCAAGTACATTTAACTGTATATAAAGTACAGCATTACATGAGCATTTTATTTTATTTTTTGAACTTGGAAATTGTTGACAGGCCCATTAGCAATAAGTTTCACTTGACCAAAAAAATTCTATTGTGTTGAAAGTTCGCTGTGCGCTTTTCAGAAGCATTGAAATACGGCATTTTTTTCCCTTGGCTTTTAAAATTGCCCTAAAAATCGGTAATAAAAAGAGTATTATTACTTGCAACACTCTTTTAAAATATATTGCTAGGCGTTTAAATCACTGTATTTCCGTCCTTTGTGTCATTTCCATTTGAAAACGTTCAAAATTATTAATTGCATAAAGAACGTCCAAAAACTAAAACGTTGCCTACATTTAGGCAAACTTTAGCCGAGACACATACTTGGAAAGAAAACTCGAATTTTTTGACGATTATACAACTAAATTTCCTATGTTTTTTTTATTCCAATTTCATTGAAAATATTGTAAATTTATATAACGGTTAATATCACAATAAAACATGTCATAAATAAAACGTTGCCTGCATTCGGGCGTATTTTAGCCAAGACACCTAGCTGCAATGACAACTCGAATTTCTCGAAGGACTGAAAATTTTATGTTTCGAAAAGACCATAAACTTTTGCGAGCTCACTTTCATTAAAAAACATTTTAGTGTAGCTTCAAGCTTAGCTCATTTGATATATAGGTGAAGCAGCTAATTGCCACACTCGAAGTTACGAAACAAACCCTGCTACTATCTTTTTGTTAACTGCATAACAAGAACAATGTTTGTCTTTCTTTCATTTTTAATTCTTTGTGCTCAAACACACACCTTTATTTACATACCGATGTATGTATGTATAGTATATCTGTATGTATATACCCAAAATAAACACCATATAATTAGCAGGTTATGTAAATATGCAATTTAATTCTCAGTACAGGTTTTGTAATTTTTTTTTTGATGATATTTTACGTTTTCTTATATTAGTAATAATCATACCTGGCGTCATATTAGCGACTTTTTTTTTACTGTTATAACCGTGCATGTATATTTTAGCGCTTAAATAAAGCCGCATTTACTCGTTTTTTGTTTCAGTCATTGTCCCTTGGGCTAATTTGCTATTCTGTATAATGAATGACAATTTAATGTTGGAAAAAATGCTACCCTTGCTTGACGCAAACATTTTAAATTGTGAGTGGTTAACTTACATACTTGTATATGTAGCTTGGTATGCTACTAGTATATATGTATGTATATATATAGAAATATTAGCATTTGACTATGTCCATGCGCTAATGAAGTAAAATTTTGTAATTATTTTCTCATTTTATTTTGATTGAATAGTAGAATCTATCGAAATTCGATATACACTATCATAGCGCTTACACTGCGTATACGTTATATTGAATGTTTACCAAGAGTTTGTACTACGCAATTTTTTAAACAACTATTTGAGATTTCAATTTACTATTGTATAAAATTTTAATATGTGATAGAGATTAAAGATATAAAAGATAAAACCTATCGAAGTGTGGAAAAATTATTATTATTAGTACAAATCGTGAAATATCTATATGAAAGCGCCATTTTTTATTACTAGAATTATTATTTTTTGTACTGTCTCCAAGGATATGCGTACCATGGAACTATATTATGCAGCATTTAGAATAAATAGTTAGTTTTACTAACATATACTTTGTAAGCAATACTGCTTTGAGGACGTGGTATGAGCTTGCATGCTATCATTGCGAAGGTTAATGTCCTCTTCCTGTTTGCGTTGTACCCGCATGACAACAAAATTATGTACTACGTTTACAATGCTAACAAAGCGGTTAAATATAAATACATACACATACATACGTACACATGCTGCTTCTTAACCATTGTGCACTGACAGTACTTATTATGTCATCTCAAACTCAACCCTGCGTCTAATAAATGCATATTGTGTGCGTGGGGTGTGTGGGATGGCATAACTTATAGACTGAAGTATAAAAGTACAATAAGATATTTCGAATTACATTAACATTTCTGCGATGTTCTTTGTTTTTTTTCTTCTTTGTTTTCCTTTTTTTTTATGCTGTTTGTACTGCGCATGTGTCGTCGAAATATAACGCAAGGACTTGTTATTGCGTGCTAAAATTTCTTCAAATGTGTGTGTTAATAACCAGGTTTAGTTTAAAAGTCGTTGCGGTTTAATCATTTTGTCATGGATATTATTCAGATGTATGTACATATATCCTTGCGAGCCAAAGAGGATATACGATACATATGTGTGGCTTATAAACAAACTGAGAAATGTCAAAGCTTACTGTAAGGTGCTTGCTTTTCTAAAACTATATTTGCAAAATAATTTTTTCTGTCAAAAATATGAAATTATTAAGTTAGGTTAAATAAATTTTGAGGTAACGTGAAAAGTTGTCAAGACAAAAGTTGCTGAAGATCTTCATTACCTAATACTTTGCCATATAATATTCTATAAAACTTTAGTTTTGTCTAAAATCGAGATAAACCGATTTTTACGCTCGAAAATTCAACCACGCCCTTTTTTCCATAATTTCTGTAATTTTGTCTTGCTCATGCAATGGGTTTCACAATCACTTGTCACTTTTTACCATTTTTAAGGGTTTCTGTATTGGTTAGTCATTCCAATCATGTAAGCGTAGAAATTTAATCAATGTTTATTACACGCATGGGTCATCAGCAATTTGCAGCCAGAAATTTCGGTCATCCTAAAAATAAAAGTGTCGAGTTCCAACAACCTACTAAACAAGTGTGAGGCCATAAATAAAACAAACTTTTAGAGCAAACAATCTACTACACATATAAGATAAGCGCCTAATAAATTATTTAGCGCAGACTCATAAAGTCAAAGCGTTGAGAATAAAGAAAAAACGAAAAACAAATAAAAAAGTTAGCAGTGCGATTGAAGGATATGAAATTTGCCAGCCATAACTATTACGTTGCGCTGCTTCCGGACACTGACTGCATAACAGACTGACTGATATTCGGGCTGTCTACTGTCATATACTTGTACTCTCCAACTGTACACATGAGCTAAGTGTGGCTATTGGTATGACTCACTGTTAGCGCGCAACTTTTCCCTCCATAACATCTCATGCTACTTCTTATTTGCCTTCTGCGCATTGTCCTTGTTTGGCCTTTCTGCCACTACAAATACTATATCGCAGCGAAGTCATACAGACATTTGGTGCACAAAACACAAAAACACAGGAAACCTTATTAAATGTTGCTGCCTCCACACAAATAAAAATAAAAATAATAACACATTGAGCGTAAATGCATGTTGGTAACAAGAAAATCGTCTCCAGCGTGTCGCTCGTGTGACCCAAAACAATTTATGTGGATGCACGGTGCTGGTTTGGCAGTTGGGACGCGTTATTATTATAATTTGTTTGGGTATTGAATAATCGCTTGCTTTTATCGCACTAAAATTTGAAGTTTGTTTTTAGTGGAGTATTGTTAGAATGTGTCAAGAATTTAAAATTCTCCTTTGAAGTTGCAAAATATAAAATTTAAATAGCTTCAATGTCTAGTAAATCCGAATCCTAAGAAGAATTTTCACTGGCGTAGAAACTGCTTATGCGGTTGTAGTCGATATTTTTACCTTACATTGAGTACAGTTAGAATGATTCGATTTAGATT